GCATGAGCCAGCTGTGTGCACTTGCAGCTCAGAAAGCCAACCATGTCCCGAGCTGCATCAAAAGAAGCGTGACCAGCAGCTTGAAGGAGGTGATCCTGCCCCTCTGCTCTCATGACATCCCACCTGCAGTGCTGCAATCAGCTATGAGGCCCCCAACACAAGAGGGACATAGACCTGCTCAATGAGTCCAGAAGAGATTGGCTATGAAGACTATCAGAGGGCTGGAGCACCTCCCCTAAGAAGAGAGGCTGGCATTGTTCAGCCTGCAGAAAAGAGGGTTCTGGAGAGACCTTAGAGCAGACTTCCAGTACCTAAAGGGGGCCTGCAAGAAATCTGTACAGGGAAGAGGGACTCTTTCCAAGGACATGAAGGGATAAGACAAGGGAGAATGGTTTTATACTGAAAGAGTGTAGATTTAGATTAGACATTAAGAAGAAATTCTTTACTGTGACAGAGGAGGGACACTGGAACAGGTTGCCCAGAGAAGCTGCAGCTGCCCCATCCCTAAGGGATGCTCAAGGCCAGGCTGGACGGTGCTTTGGGCAACCTGGTCTAGTGGAAGGTGCCCCTGCACGTGGCAGAGGGTTGGAACTGGATGATCTTTAAGGTCCCTTCCAACCCAAACTATTCTATGATTTTATGAACCCAGTTATATTCTATGATAAAAAGAGATCTGTGAACAAAATGAGAGCAAGTTGATTAAATATAACTCAGCTTTAGCAAGGCTTTTGGCACTGTCTCACACAGTATTTTTATAGCCAAGTTAGGACTTCAGTCTAGATAGGTGAATTGCAACATCAATAAAAATGGTTTGATGGTAAGCCTCTGACAGTAGTCGCTGATGATAAGTGGAATACTGTAGGACTCTGGATTAGAATCCGTTTAACATCTTTATCCATCACCTGAATTAGGCCAAGAGTGTAATCTTACCACATTTGAAGATAACAGTGAACTCAGTTGAGGTGGGTGACTACACAATACAACTAAACACTTAAGAGAAGAGCTGTCATTCCCTAGAATCTAGCCAGAGAGGAGGAATAGGCCAGCATTAGCCATCTGAGATTCAAGTGATATGTGCAAATATCAGAATTTTAGGAAGCAAGAGTGGTATGGCTGGTAACTGGCTGAGAAGCAGCTATGCTCAATAAGGACCTGGTAATTGTAGTAGACAGAAAACCACAACAGCATGGGATGCAAGTAGAGACAGCAAGCACCATCCTGGACTGCATTAATAGTAGCATAGCCAGAAGAAGTGATTAATTAACTTTTATTTGGCACTTAGTGCAACACTTCTAGAACAACGACCATGTAACATGGGAAAAAGTTGGAGTGAGCTAAAGGGAGGATATTCAAGCTGGAGGAGAGAGAACTTCAGGATGCGTAACAGCCTCCCCCAGTATCTACAAGGAAGTTATCAAGAAGATGCAGCCTGTCACTTCACAGCAATGTATGGCTAGAGGACAACAGTCGCAAATTGAATCCAAAGAGGTTCAGACAAGGAGAAACATTTTCCACCTTAACGGCAGTTAAACAGCGGAACAGGTTCCCAAAGAGGTTCTGTCATCTCCATTCCTGTAGGTTTTCAAGACCTATCTGGACGAAACACTGAGCAACCTGATGTCATATCTGATCCTGGTTTGATAGGAGGTTGGACTACAGATATTCTTCAATCCCTGAATTATCCTTTGATGTAACTCCTAGCAATGGGAACACCCAGGTGTCTCTCCTTTCCTTGTCTCTTCTATCACTTCTGTCTCATTAACTGAAATACTGCAAACAGCTCAAAGTTCTTCCAGCTTTTGAATCGATATTGTCACTTCCTGACTTTGACTTATATCTGATAGATCCACATGTCTTTTTAGCTGAACGACTACTTCAACAGTCCTCGATATACCTATGTGCTTCTGCTTCAGCCTGGCCGTTTTTCTTTTATTTTAGTTGTAGATGGCTACTTCTTATTCTTAAGAAAAAGAACTCACCTGTTTCAGTCCCCCAAAGTAGCTTCTACTCCCACAGCTTTCAGAAACACACAAAAAGCAGTTCCAATTTATTCTATGTCACGATCTCACTCTTCAAGAAAAGCAAATTCACATGGAGACCCAAATCCCATGTTGCTTCGAATTTACATAGAGCTACTGGGTTCAGAGCTTATTAATAAATTATGCAACCCAGAAAAGCCTGCTTGCTTGGTTTTAGTTATTACAACTATCTTTTTCTGAGAAAAGAAATTGTCACAGCTTTGTGCAGTTTCCAATTTTGGTATCATTCATCCCACTCAAGTCCATCTATAAAGACATACAAGTGTTCTAACACAACAAATGAAACCCTCCAAGACTTTCCAAAGACTAAGGCCTTAAGACAAAATCCAGAGGACTCCTCCAGAGAAAGAGAAATTATGGTAGGATGTCAAATCACAGCTTAAAAGAAAAAGCCAGACTCCTGACATTGTCTGGAGTCCAGGGATCACAGCCTTCAAAGGTAAGTAGATCAAAGGCTCTTGTATTCTCTCTTGAGGGATCTAGTGAACGCAATCACTGATATTCACCAATGTTACTAATACTTGTAGGCTTCAAAGACTAAAAAAGGCACAAGAAACGACAAGGTATTACATGCCCACCACACATAATTACCTCACGGGAACTGAGTATACAGATGTCAATCTGAGACAAAGCTTGACCTTCACTACTCATCTTTATAGAGCTCTGGAAATTCAGGTGTCTGGACTAACAAAATTATAAAGACAGGCTGTTTCTGTTTCTTCGAGCTCTATTAACAAAACCACCAACTGTTTAACTGCACCAGCTTTCATGGAAGTATTTGCATTCTCTAAAATCACAGATGATAATTTGTTTTCAAAAACTCAGTTGGCAGAAGGTGCTAGGAGTCACTGCCTGAATCAACAGATGATTACAAGTAGTGATAAGTACTATTCTGGACATTAGACAAAATTTATTCTGATGTCCAATTAACACAGAGAACAGATGCTTTAATTAGGCAAAATTTCTTTTTCGTACCAGGAAAAAATAAAACAAAATGAAAAGACAAACAAGCAGGTAAAAAAAACAAACAAAAAAACAAAACCAACCAAACAACAACGAAAAATAAACTGACACAAACCAGGGCAAATCTTTCCTGAGGAAGAAGTGTTGAACAGAATTACCCAGTTTAAAGAAAAAGGGAAAGGCTGTTTAAAGTTCTTGTTGTACTTTAGCAACACAAGAGAAGTCTCACTTCTCTGTAAGCACCAACACTGAAACTCCTAATGCAACTGGTACCATAACCATAAGTACTGTATTTCCTAGTCTGGTATTTCTTATAGAAGAAAAAAAAACACCAGCCTCTAAAAAACAATTATTTTTATTCTTTTAATAATCTAATACCAAAAAGTATCCTTAACTCAAAGACTTGGAAATTTATCACTTGCAGATTTTCACAATTTTTAACTAACACTACTAACTTCAAATTTGAAAGGCAGATCTTGTGGTAAAACTTGTAAAGTTCTAATGGCTTGGAAAATTCCTAAACAGATGCTTAAGCTACCATTAAGAATGCTTCTAATTAGCTTACATTTTATATCTATTTTCATCCCTTGATTCTCAGAACATATTCATGCTAATAACAGAATAATTCAGGCCTTAAAAGACTCACATGTCTGTTGCTAACCTCAAAATTGCAAATTACACTCCGCTAAGTGCTTAGAAAAAATACAGCGTTACTGAAACAGTGTTCAATACCTAAGAGACAGTGTAGCTCCACACAGTAACAATCGGGCAGCATTGTTCCATGTGCATGCAGTACTCCACTTAAGACTATTTCTTGAGGTAACAGGTATCTGCTCATCTGAGAAACTATTATAATTCTCAGAATTAAATGCTCTGACTGACTCTGTTAAGGAAACCTAAGTGCACATGCATATAATTTGGGTCTAATGTGATAAAATCAACCAATCAAAATCATTTCAAAAAAATGCAGGTGAGGAACCCATATATTTTATTAATTTCATGTGGGGCCAAAAGGAATCTTCCTAGAGGATCTTCTACTGAAAATTATTACTGAGCACAGATATCCAAGATAAAACATCTTGTAGAAACATGAAAATAAAAATTTGCTAAAAGAGGAGTTCCTGAGAGGACAATTGTTATGAAAGTTAAAATGAACAACCCATGTGTTCAGAATCACATTAATTTTCAAAAGACCTATAAAGATAAAAAACTGCAGTTCTGCTGTGTTTATAATACAGCACAGGTTTCAACTATTTTACTAAAAGCATCTCTGTAACCATGCATATAGAAAGATTACCTAAGGCCCAGGCACAAAAACCTCCTTACTTGTAGGAAAACCAGCTTCTTTTGCCCTCCACTACTGCTTGAGTAAGTCGATATAAATACCTAGTGCACAGACCCATATCATCCTAGATCAAAAGAAATGACACCTATGTCTTTTTCCAACCCCTTCTACTAGCTCTAGTCTCTGCCAATACCCCCACTGTGTGCCACCTGCTTTAAGTCTTCTTAAACCTCCTCTTTCTCTAAACTTCACCTACTACTATCCTTTATTTCACCTACTCCTCAGTTCTCCGTCTTCTAACACGATTCTTCTTCCTGACATTTTCTCAGCCCAATATCTACTTGATTCACCCAGGGAAGAAAATTTAGTACTGTACATCCTCTATCTGTCTGGGGAATATAATAAAGCTGTTCTTCCAAAAGCCATCTGTTACCACAGACACAAAAGATTGCGCTGAGCACGAAGGGAATCAGAATCCCAAGTAATTGTGCCTGTTCTCACACACTTCACCCCTTTTTCTATTCCTTCTTACAAAGTTCAAACTTTCCACAATTATTCAAAAGCTGAAAATGAAGACTATCCACTATAAATTATACGGAACTTCAAAACAGAAATCTTCAAGATTTATCTAGCTCACTGAAGTAAAAAAAGTATTGTTTTCATAATAAGTGTATACAGAAAAAAAAAAGTTGTTACAAACCTGACACATATGTTTTGCTACACTCCTCTCAAGCACTACTGGAAACAGGACCCTATCATATCTATTATTTTCAACACCCGTGCTTTGGCAAATAATCTATAACAGATCAGTTATTTTCTCTACTTACTCATAATATGTATGGTTACTGATATGAACTTATTAATGGAACGCCAGGTTCTGAACTTTGGCTGAGTTTGGCAAATTGCATCAGACTGTTTTCCAGTGAGTGAAAACTAGAAAGAATGTAAACTATAAGTGGTACTCAAGCTGACTACTGCCACTTTACAATGAATTCAAAAGTTAACTTACACACTGAGTTTTTCCAGGTTCTCTTGGGCATTGCGTTTTTCTCTCTCATATGCATTTTCTATCTCTTTAAACTCTTTCTTGATCATTTCTAAATTTGAAAAAGCTTCTGCTTGGCTGGCTTTTTCCACCTGCAAAGCTCCTTCAAGGTCTCGAACTCTTAACTACCAAGTGATAAGAAAGCAATTAAAGCAAGTTAGGAAAAACTATCATGATCTCTAATACTGTTCTATGCTGTCTTCTGCTGGTAAACTGTATTATATTAATTCTATATGGAAGTATATACACAGAAAGCACCGAACACATGTAAAAATGCATGAATACATACAGTTCCAAATGAAAACAAATAGATACACTGACCAGAAGCAACTTTTTTCCTTTGGTGGTGTCTGGATTTTTTGTTTTTCATCTATTACTAAATTTTCCAGAGGAATTCTTTCTTTTTCTTTTTCTTTTTTTTTTTTAAGTAGACTCATGGAAGCATGGGATTAACAGTAAAGGCTGTATTTCCACTCAGCACAAAACACACTTGAAGCTTATTCATGTATACGAACAAGGAAGAAAAACTCACCAGTCATTCACTCATAAAAGGTAAGTCTCTTACTGTAAGGAATGTTACCCTCCAGTTCCTCTGTATGTTGTAAAAGTAGAGAGAGGAAATTAAGAAAACTAAATCCACTAGTTTAATCATCACTCTAGAAAAATTGAGTGCCTGTGCATAGAGAAGATGATGAGAATAAGAAAGCAACTGAGTGAAGAATGGCAGTACTTATTTTATTTACTCAGAAAATAAGGAAAAAAAAAATCAAACTTACTTTTTCTTTTTTTTTTTTTTTGCTTAGTTTTTCAGAAGTCCAGTGTGAAGGGTTTGTTAGTAGGAGGTTACTAAGCAACCACCATTCAGCTTTTTATCACTTGCTTTTTAAAGTAACCCGTAATTACTTTACTGGGTCAAACCCAATGTCATACAGCTTAATAATACAAACATTTAATATTCATACTACATTTTACATATATATATATACTACACTTTTTTCATATAATCAATCTTCACTGGCAAATGCAGATATCCTAACTTTGACGTTGAATGTACTCTGAATAACCACATTTGGAAGTGTAGTTTCAGAATGCGTTAAGCTCTCAGTCCTAGAAAAGTTGGACCCATGCACTTTATCTCCAAATAGCTCTAAGTGCCCATTCAAAAGATACAGGGCAGGATATTGAAACAGTAGTATAGTGTTTAACTATTGTGAAACATTTTCTTTCCCCTCACTGTTTAAATGCTAGTGGGATTCTCAGACTTAAATAAGAAAATATAATAACATCTTTGTATTCTAGTAGCTTCAAATGTTCCCTGAAAAGCAGGTATTTTTCTGTTGTCTCCTTTTATACATCAGCTGTTACAACTTTAACACTTGTTACAAAAAACCTATTCAGTGTTTTCACTAAAGCGAGTAGGTAGTCTTAACATTTTTTCAAGATTATATCTTTACCACTTCAACTGTTTTACTGTAAACTTCTACAAAGTATTTAACAAAAAGTTTACCTGGATGATCTCTGAATTGAATTTGGATTCCAAATGTGCTGCTCTCTCTGCTTCAATGTTTTCTTCCAGTTTCTTTATTCTCACTGTAGCTGCCTAAAAGTACATTTTAAAGAAACTTAAGTCCAGAGAGGTAGTAAACATGACACAAAGATTATTCTATTCATTCAGTATATTAGGACTTCATTCACCAAGATAACATGGCTGAACTACTCGTACTTTGGAACTGTGAAAACTCATACCAACAAATAAACACAGAAATAATTTTTACATATCTAGAATATTTATTATTTTATATTTAAAGAAACTGATGTAGCATTATGCTATTTCTGCATTTTTTACGACCAAGAAAATTGCATCTGCAGCCAAAAGGCAGAAAGACCAAGTTAAATGTTTCACCTATTCCCTTACTATTTTCTTTTTCACCAAAGTTGTCACCTGAGGCAATATAATCAGATACATAACATAAAGACACATGAAAATATAAGACAGAGGAAGCTCAGAGAAGGTAAGAGTATTCCTCAAAAATATGCTGGCTTTGGCACTTAAATTCCAATTAAAATGCTTAGGACAGATTGCTTTGCAGCCCAAAACTAGTCATAGTTTCCCTACAACAAAAATCTCTGAACTCTGTAATGTTTTAAAAGTACTAATCTAGTAAATTTTTACTGTTGCATTCCTTGACCTGTAACTATTCTCTTATGATTTTGTCTAGCAATTACCAGATGTTCTTGATCACTTTTAACAAATATCCTGATTTCTTCAGTCAGTTACTATGTCTCATTACACAACAGAACATCTGTACATGCATGAATAACCTAAGCAAAATGGGATTTTCCGAATTAAACTGTTCCATCTTTCTTATCCATTCTTACAACATTTAGGAAAGTAGAAAACCACAAATGACTATGGTAGAAATCTACTTGGAAATTTGAGTGATCCAGGCTGAAAATGTTTCTTTCAAGTTACAATAAACACAAAAGCAATCACCAGATATGTATGCTCAGATAAAGAAAAAAATACCTTTACCAGTAGTTACTACATATCTGCTATAATGGAAATTCACATGCAATCTTAACTACAATGCTTTTTATCAATAAAATCTTTTCACTTTGACTGATAGCTGAATTGAAAAGAAAAATTCATCCCAAAACATCTCTTGGCTTCAAGTTAAATCAGGAATATCAAAAAAAGGAATTAATATTAAAAACTCATTTACCATAAGCACACTTAAGGTTATATAAATACAATCAATGTTACTGATTTTTGAAAAGCAAAACAAAGTAGCATATAAGATTGCATCTTGATTCTGAATGTTTAAAAGAAGAGAAACATTAACAGATGCTAAAATAAAAGCTCTTGGCAATAAATTGAAACTTTGTATAATCACACACACACAAAACGAAAGACTTTTTGAAACTGATGTCCACGGAAGGCCTAGTAAAGAGAAAAGCAGCAACAGCACAGAGCTTACCAAGCTTACTTCACAGTAAGGTCTGACAAAAAGCTTATACCTTCACTCTTCCCAGGAGTTTAATCTGTTTAATACACTTAATTTAAAAAAAAACACAAATCTTGCACAAACACTCTCACTATACATTGATACTGCTAAGATTATTCTCAAAATTGCTTGATTTAGGCTCTTAACAGTATTATTCCTTCCAAATATCAGCTCCTACTACCTTTTGCCCTTAATGAAAAAATTTGCAAACTACCTCCTGCTTCAGTCTGGAAGAACTCGTTAGTTATCCTTCAACAGATTGACATTTGTCAGTGGATGGTTTTATACAAGAATGTTGTCAGCCTAGTAAAAGTAGTCAGTGAACAATAAATGTCAGTGATATGGATCTCATTTTTTTAATAACATTTTAAAAGTCAGCTGCAAAATAATTCTCAGTTTGAGGAGAAGAATAAAGGAAACAGTGAGGAAGGTACCTATCACAATACTAAGAGTGGGAAATGTAATTTTTAAAAAACAAAACGAAGAAATAGAAACGTCACTGAGAATATTTTACTGTACACCCTCAAGAGTAAAAATGCTTTCCTGTCTTTGACTGGCTTCTTCAAGTGTCTACTCTCCTAGCAAAAACTAAAATGGAAAAACAAAGTGATTCTGCAAGTAAAGTTTTTAGGCACAATAACTATTACACAAGCTCTGTAGTGCATTTGGCTTCCAAGTCTATTTCCTGAGCACGCATCCAAAGTAGAACTATGCCTTTATCTTGGTCTCTCTTCAGCTGAAACCAGAGATGCAAGGCACTATCAAAATGGTTAAACTCTGCTCTCATATGGAGCCCCCTAGAAGTGTTAGATTTCTTCAGTCCCAAGAAGAAAACTTAAGAATAAATAACAGCTTGAGTGAGGGCATCTGCAAGAACAAAAAACTGTAGCAATTGAATTCTCCCAAACTGTCCTGAGTTCAGCAGTATCAGTCATTTTTCTCCTTCCTGGTAGCTGCTGCAGTGCTGTGTTTTTGACTTTCAGCCTGCGAACAGCACTGATAACACCGATGTTTTTAGTTGTTGCTCAGTAATGTTTCCTCTGATCAAGGACTTTCTGAGCCTCATGCTCTGCCAGGGAGGAGGGGAAGCCGGGAGGAAGCAGAGACAGGACACCTGACCCAAACTAGCCAAGCAGGTATTCCATACAACAGCACATCATTCCCAGTAAAAGAAACTGGCAACAGTTACCTGGGAGGGCTAGATCACTGCCCAGGTTGGGCTGGGTATCGATCGGCAGGTGGTGAGTGGTTGTATTTTTTTCCCCTTGTTATTTCCCTTATCACTATTACTACTGGTGGTAGCAGCAGTGGTTTGTGTTATACTTTAGTTACTGGGCTGTTCTTATCTCAACCCTTGAGAGTTACATTCTTTCGATTCTTCTCCCCATCCCTCCAGGAGCAGCAGGAGGAATGGGGGGCAGTGAGCGAGCAGCTGCGTGGTTCTGGATTGCCAGCTGGGTTTAAACCACAACACAAACAGAGCATATAGGTGTCAATTCTTGGTATAATTCTTTAGAGTCTATTTCCTCAAGCCACCATGATCACAGAACCACAGAATGGTTTAGGTTAGAAGAGACTTTAAAGATCATCTCATTCCAAATTCCCTGCCATGGACAGGGACACCTTCCACTAGACCAGGTTGCTCCAAGCCCCATCCAACCTTGCCTTGAACACTTCCAGGACTCCGGCAGACAAAACTTCTCAAGGCAACCTGTTCCAGTGTCTCACCACCTTCATTTCTTCCTAATGTCCAACCAAAATTTGCAGAAAAATTACAAATATGCAAATCAAGAAACTAATGTAGATGCTGTCTGTGTCCAGTGGAACAGTGAATATTCTTTTTCCTGGGTTCTATGATTTGATTACTGTACTTTATTGTTCACCATACATCCTGCAAATCTAAATGAAGCCATATACCAGCAAAACAGTGGGACATCTGTGGGAAAACAAAAACTTTGTGAGAGATATCTAACCACCCATTAGTACATAATCCTTGCTAAGCAACAGAGTTATTAATATAAAGAAACTTAGATTTGCCTAGATTGCTAAAAGAATCTTGGAATCACTGTTTATGAAAGTACACATCAGCCACAGAAGTTGCACGTGGCTTCAAAGCTGAGTCTGAAGTTTTATTTGGGAATAATACAGCTGCCAAAAAAAAAAAAAAAAAAAAAAACACACAACCAAACAAAAAAAAAACCTACATAAAAAATACTGTCTGTTCTGCTAGTAATGGTTCAAACGAGTTCTTCTGAAACCCATATGCACTTCCCTTCACAATGAGAAGCTACATGCTTTACTAGTGAGAATGATCCACTATACACTGTGAGAGAAAGCTCAGGTATGAATCTATCCTGTAACACCATACTAAAAAACCAAAAAGAAAGGGGATGGGATGAGCTCAACTCAGAGCGACAACAGACACCGAGGGAGCCTCACGTCCTCGACAGGGCCTGCCCAGGAGCAGGCAGCTCAGCTGACGCGAGCAGCTGACTCACAGGGGGCGGAGCCAGGAGGAACGGCGCCAGCCGTGATTGGTTAAAAACGTGCCCCAGGGAGCGCGGCAAACAGAGCGGGTCGAGGCAGTTGGCGGGGGCAGGCGAGCAGGATGGTGAGCACTCGCCGTATGACCAGGGCCTGCTCTGGGAGCTCTGCTCTGGCTGCTCCGGCGGTGGCCACCGTAGGCACCCAGACAGCGCCGATGAGCGGGGAGGCTGCAGTGCAGACTTTGGGGTGTAGAGAGTGCCTGCACTGGTCTGGTGAGGGAAAGGTACACAATGGGCAGGGCTGCACTCGGTGCTCTCTGGTGGAGGCTCTCCTGCAGCAGGTGACTGAGCTGCGGGAAGCTATTAATAGGCTACAAGATGTCAGGGTAGTTGAGAGAAAACAGGAATGCTTGCTCCCTGCCCAAACTGTGCAGAGTCATCAAGCTTCCCCTGTAGCTCATGGAGGAATGAAGGAGGTTGTTAGCTCTCGAAGCTGGGAATTGGTGACAAAAAAACCCAAGAAAAAAAGAAGGAAAAGAACAATTAAAAGCAAGGGACTTCCTCCTGAACCTGTTGCCCCCACGCAGAACAGCTTTGCTGTCCTGCAGGGGCCTCATGAGGAAATGCAGTTGCGCCAGAAACAGCCGGCTGATGCACTAGTAAAGAAGATCTCTACTGGTGCTGGCAGGAAAAAGCAGAGGGTTGTAGTAGTAGGGGATTCTACTTTGAAAGGGACAGAAGCACTCGTCTGTCGGCCTGACCCGATCTCAAGGGAGGTGTTTTGCCTACCAGAGGCACGAATCAGGGATGTGGCAGAGAGGCTGCCTGCTCCGCTAAGCCCCACGGACTATTACCCACTTCTGATGATACATGTGGGTGCTAGTAGTAGTAGCTTGGGGAACATAAAGAAGGACTACAGAGCCCTGGGAGAGGTGGTTAAGGGCTCTGGAGCTCAGATTGTCTTCTCATCTATTCTCCAGGATACAGGGGAGGACCTAAAAAAAGCTAGGAGGATTAGCCAGGTTAATAAATGGTTAAAAGGGTGGTGTCACAGTCAGGGGTTTGGGTGTCTTGAACATGGGACCCAAGTTTGTAGGCCAGGTCTAGCG